AAAAATATTTTTTCTTTGAATTATGTGGGCATTTATACACCAGGACCCATTAGCTCCATGTCAAGTTGTTGTCTTTCAGTTTTAGTTATAGAGGGCGCTCAACTCCAAGTCCAGTTGTCATTTTTTTTTTTTTTCCCAATCTAGAGCTTCAGAGGACACAGCTCACTGGCCCATGTGAGAAATCGAACCTGTTGCTCAAAGCACGCGAACCAGCTGAGCTGCCCGGCCTCCCTAAAAGTTTTATTTTAAAGATAATTTCCAGGTCAGGTCAATCAGACTGTAGTTTTAATGTGCTTTAAAGCAAAATTCTTGTTACCAAAGTCTGATACTTCTGAAATTGCCAATTGTTGAGGAAGTTTTTTTACTGTGTTTTCTTATGGGAACAGCTTGGTAAATATTTCTGAAAACTGGATATGAACACGTGTTTTGGTATGGGAAAATTAGAGGAGAGTTTTTGCCTAATTATCAAAGCTAGGAATAAAATATTTTATATAGTTTGAGATAACTTATAGGAAGCTTTTTTTTCCTGTTTCTTATAAGAATGTACTGAAATAGGTAGATTCCTGGTGCATTGTACATGTTGTAAATATATTTTTTATGCACAATTTCTGTTTTGTGACTCATTTTTCTTACAGAGCTTATCAAAACACAATAGAAGCAATATTGGAACTGAAGGTGGACCACCTCCTTTTGTGCCTTTTGGACAGGTAATGGCTTTCACGTTGGCAGATGAATTTTAATCAGCAAAAAGTGTTTTTCATTTGTGTTCACGTTGTGTTTGGTTTTGTGCCAAACTATTCATTCAGGAGTTATGGAGTTATATGGAAATATAGTCAGTACAGGAATTTAATAATTGTTTTTTTTCTTTACTGTGATTAAATTGTTGGTGCAGATGCATTTCTCAAGAGCTGTTAACCCAAAGATAAAAGAAATTAAGGGGCACCCTTGCAGATCAACTTACAATAATTAAGATAAGATGGTGGTGGGACATTTTTTTTTTTTTTGAAAGAGAGAAATGCAAAAGTAAGAAGATAAAAATATGCTATAATTTCTCATTTTGTTCATTAAAAACAAGAGATAGAAAATNATTAGTAGTAGTTTGATAGTTGTCCTTATAATGTTTTATTATGTATCGCTGTACTTTGTTCCCTGAAAGCCTGTTAATATTTCTTATTAGGGAGCAATAAAAATTTACATTAAAAAGAGTTTAAAAACATCTTAATATAATTATAGTTCTCTTTGGTTTTATAGTTTTTTGATTTGTTAACCATAGCGATGTAGAAACCATGGAGAGTATAATTACTTGAGCATCTGGCAAGTAATACACAGAAATCAAATGTACACATAGGAAACATAAACCGTAGAGTTAATTTTGAAAGAAAAGGGGCCCTAAACATTCTTCTAAAATAAATAGGGGAAGGGAATATTGAGTAGTATTTAAACTATGTGCAGGTGGTATAACTGTAGTAAGTTGATGACATACAGGTGAAGAAAAGAAGTGTTTTGTATTATTCCAAACTGAAACTCTGTACTCATTTAACATTAACTTCTCATTCCCCACCCCCTTCCTCCCAATTTCTGCCAATCATGATCCTCCTTTCTATGTCTCTATGAGTTTGACTACTTTAGGTACCTTATAGACGTGGAATCATATAATATTTGTCTTTTTGTGTCTGGCTTATTTCACTTAGCATAATGTCTCCATGTTTCATCATATTGTAGCATGTGTCAGAATTTTCTAACTTTACGACTGAATAAAATTCCACTGTATATCTACAACACATTTTGTTCTTTCATCCACTGATAGACATTAGGGTTGTTTTTACCTTTTAGCTATTGTGAATAATGCTGGTATGAACATGGGTGTATAAATATCTGTTCACATTCCTGCTTTCAATTCCTTTGGGTATATACTCACAAATAGAATTGCTGATCGTATGGTTATTGTTTAAGTTTTCTGAGTAACTGCCATATTGTTTTTCATGGTGGCTGCACCATTTTCTATTCCCATCAGCAGTGCTCAAGGGATCCAATTTCTACACATCCTTGCCAATCCTTGTTATTTTTGTTTTTTAAATAACCATCTCAATAGGTGAGAAGTGGAACCTTATTGTGGTTTTCATTTGCGTTTCCTTGATGCTTGATGATGGTTAGCATCTTTTCTTTTATATGCTTATTGTCCATTTTTATATCTTCTTTGGAGAAATGTCTATCTGTCCTTTGCCAATTTTTAAAATCTGTTATGTTGTGTGATTTCTCAGTATATTCTGGATATCAATTCCTTATCAGCTATATGATTTGCAAATATTTTTTCACTTTCCATGGGGTGCCTTTTCACGCTGTTGATAGTGTCCTTTGATGCACAAAAGTTTTAATTTTGATGTTCAGTTTTATGTTTTTTGTTGTTGTTATCTGTGCTGTCAGTGTCATATCCAAGAAATCATTGCCAAATCCAGTGTCATGAAGCTTTACCCCTATGTTTTATTTTAGAAGTTTTTATGAGTTTAGCTCTTAATTTAGGTCTTTGATCCATTTTGAGTTAATTTTTGTATATGGTGTAAGAACGAACATAGGTAACATTCTGTAATGATAATTATTAAAAATGCACAAAAAATTTTAAGGTATGATGAATAAAATAACAACTAGTGCTTACCACCTCAAAATGAAACAAATAGGAGGAATAGATGACTTAAAGAAGGCTTGAAGATTCCTTATGACATTTTCAAAGGAATTTATAATGTGAGAAATTGCTTTTGTAAGGATAACATTCCCCCCACCCCCTACCCCATCATTTGTATAATACATTGTTCTCTCTCTAATCCTAAATATGAGAGGGAAAAAAGAAAACAAAATTAGTGGAATTTGAGACCTTATTTTTATTAAAGAACAGTCAGTTGGTTGAATACTTCTTCAAAATATAAATTGATAAACAAGTCTTGATTAAGGAAATTTTATTGTGGTTGAAAGTAATCTCCATATTATAAACTGTAACAATCTGATCTCTTTAAATAATTTGAAATCATCATTATTAGTATTCTGATGAATTGTTTCTAGTCACAACACTTCTGA